TATTAGATTATTATAAATTAGAAACATAAAAAATGTGAAATATAATTTAAATGGCGTTAAGTAAGGTAAGTTTGACTTTACATTAAAATGGCGGAAAAGATTTTAACAAAAAGTATTTTTTTAAATTGTGTGTTATAACTTTTTAAAATTGACATTTTCAATCGTATTAAAATTAAAAATAATGTTTGTTAATTATTAACCATAATTCATATGCCACTTCTCTTAACGCTTCCTCCTTATTCGAGGTTGGTTCGTTCATTGGTCAAATACTAAAGTACGAAAAAAAAAAAAAAATTAATAAATGCATTTACCGTTAGCGTTTAAGAAAACAATTCTACAGTTTTAGAGTCGTTGATATTTTTATAACTTACAACACTATCGTGGGGAGGGCAAAGTATACCAATCGGTCACTTCTGAGTCGATATACAAGCTATGTCCGTCTGTCTGTCTGTCGCAATTTTCAAGATAATTCGATGAATTTTGAAAAGTATCCTTTTTTTTGTCCCAAGGACCATGTCTACTGAATGGTTCAATCGGTCCATTATTTGGCCGAGCCACCATATCTCCAACCAATCTCCCTAATAAAATTTATGAGGATAGGCCCATATAAACCCCCTGCCACATGTTTAACATTATCACTGGTGTATATATTTTTACATGTTATGTTTTTTTTTTCTTAATCAAAAATAAATATGTTCAGTTGAGAAAAATGATTTTCTTTTTAAAACTATAAAATATGGTAAACCTGACTATTTGCAGAATAAATTTAACTTTGCTATTTCAAATAGAACACATTCTTTAATATGTCCAGCACATGTTTCATTATTTATGACGAGATCATTTCGAGTTAACATAGCGCGCTTATGGAATACTGTTATTCCTTACCAGGAACGTAAATTCTCACATTCATTATATGCATTTAAAAATATTTTTTTGTCGAATTCATAACTAACCCTGAGCCTATTTTTAATGATATTCCACTATGTAAATGTATATTGTACAGCCATTTCCCCTAAGTTTTTATAAAATATTTAATTGGTATAACTCATTTGTTGCAAAAAATCTTTTATATAACCTTATTGCATTTCGCTCCTATTATGTTTTACTGTCATTTTTAGGCTAATAATATTATCTTTATTTTCACCAATTTATAGAATCCTAATCAGTGTGTGCAAAACTTCAAGTCTAACTATTAAAAATAATAAAACATTGGAGTTAAAAATATTTTTAAATTGTAAAGACAAAAATTAGCATTACGAATGACACTTTTAAATAAAAACGGATTGAATTTAACTGAATTCGCTGCCGAAACGATGGTGTACTTCGAAAGGCACAAATTAATCGAAATTACTAAAGTAACCAAAAAAGATTTTCGAAATTTCCTTCAGTTTGAAAATACCGTTTAAATTTTTCAGAAAATTTTAGTAGAATGTGCTTTAATAAGACCTCAGGATGTTCAAGTGTGGATTGGTAAAAATATTAAACGTATAGCCAATGAAATATATCAGGATTGTTTAAATCAAGGCAAAAATGGCGTTATAAAATCCCTACATCTTTCCACAAATTATCTCTATCGCATTATGATATTTGGTAGACCCGGTTCGGGAAGAAAAACTCAAGCTTATAATTTAGTTTCTAAATATAATTTGGTGTTAAGTTGGTTTATTATATTGTTTAAAAGTCTGCTTATAGTAATAATCGTTTTTTCTTAAAAAAAAGTTGATGCTGAAAAGTTAATATATCAACATTTAAGAGGAGATGATGATCGTCCTTATGATACGCTAGATCGTGAGCTGCAAAGAGCTTTTTATTATAATAATTGTGCAGCCAAATCGAAAGCTCTACTTAATATTATAGCCCGGCGTATTTTGGAAAGAGATTGTTTAGGTCGTGGTTGGATTTTGCTCAATTTCCCACATACTTTGCAAGATTTTATAGATATTTTGGAAAACTTTAAACTACCACCTAATAAATTGGTTTATTTGAAATGTCCTGAAACGCTCTGTATGCGTAGACTGATGAATATGCCCAATTTGGGTAAACCTAGCCACACTTGCTCATACTATGAACAAGAGGTAATTAATGTTTAGTTCTCTAACAAAAAATCTAAATAATTTTATCTTTAGATGCGTTTCTTTAACAAGTATGAAGAGCAAATTATAGATTATTTATTGAAACGTCATGAAACGATATTTGTGGATGCACAAGCATCTTCTGAGCAAGTTAAAATGTATCTGATGGGCTCTATCATGCAAACTCCTTATTTAATGGGCTTTAAGCGTATCACAAGAGATTAATGTAACTGAATATAAATATTTTTCTTAATTCATTTTATGGGCATTTATTAAAAATTTTATTATATTTACTTAACACTTTTACACAAATGTTAATGTTTTTTAAGACAAAACCTTTTCTACATTAACTGCTTCTGTTGTTGAGCTGCAGCCAATTGCTGCTGCTGTTGGCGGCATAATTCTTCCATTACCTCATGATTATAAGTGGAATGTAACATTAAACCCAATACCCCAGCTCTGGAAGCCATTTGATGCCTTATTTGCCTCTCCTGCTCCAAAAGCTCATCCATTTTTAACCATTGTCGAACACGCTCTAAATCAATTTCAGCTCTACGTATCTTTTCCCAAACATAATGTTTATAACAACTTTTTTTGGGAGCCCGACAAAACTCCCCGGTAGGCGTAAAAACGTCAGAGACCAAAGGACAGCCACAAACATCAGTGTCACTAACTTTGGGATCTTTACAGTGTTCAGGACACAGTACCTTCAAACGTTTACAGTATGTCTTACTGGCTGGATTATAGAAATCACAAAACATGGATTGTCCTTCAATGCGAGTCTTGAAAATACTGCCAAATGAAGCTTGTGATTCATATTTGTTGAAGCACTTTTCCATATGCTTAATGGCGGTACGTGAGTGAATCTCATGACCACAGGTAATACAATACATAGACTGTTCATCTTCTATATCATTGTGTTCTTGGAAGTTGGGATCTAAAGAAGAGTGTTTGGCTCTTTCCACAATCATATCAAGTTCCTGATGCCTTTTATCTAGTTCAGCTAAAGCAAAACGTACCATAGCCTGTTTTGATCTTATTTGGTCTAGTTGTTTTTTATTTTCCTCCTCCGCACGACAACGTGTAAGATTCCATTCTTGTACTCGTTGTGGCAGAACCTGAAATATACGTGCAGTCGCCAAGCGCAGACCACACTCATCACTACAGTACTTGGATTGGGGACGAGAATTGTTTCTACAGCCGGGACCATAACATTGGCGTAAGCCTTCTAGTTCGGGATTGATAAAAGGTTCAGGAGTCAAGGATCTTTTCCTTTTGCGTTGACGATCTTTCACGGGTTTTTCCTTTTTCTTAGTGGGTCTTGTAGGTTGAGCAGCTGGCGGCTGCTGTTGTGGCACGACTTGAGGGGCTATTTGTGCCGACATCTGAGCCTGAAGTTGCACCAAACAAACACGTCTTTCACAGCGCGGCTTATGACCCACACGTATTCGACAGGCCTCACAGTTATTACAATTGGGTGTGCGACAGCCCTCACAAGTACCACAACGGTTAACTTTAGTGCTTATTTTAACGGGCACTTCAGCGACAACATTGGCGCTAAGATCTTTGGACTTTTTGCGCTTTTCCGCTTCTATAGGCATAACAGCACCCATAGGATTAGCTGTTTTCTCCACGGGCACTACACGAAATACCGTTTGCAAAGTGGGATCATCTTCCTTACACTTTTGACAATAATAATGTTTAATATGTTTTGCCTCCTTTTCGGTAATATTGATGCAATCACCATGATACCATTCCTCGCAGCCATCACAACCACTTGAAAGAAATTTTATAGAAATTTTAGATATTTGGGAGAGTAATTTGAAAAAACCTACATCATAAATCTGGAACAGTCCGAGGTACGGCAAATACAGTACGCCTGGCCATCTTGCTTCATGATGGTGGCAATTTTCGACTTGCGCTCCGGCAAATCAAATTCCTTGGCTATTTCTTCTTTCTGTAATGAGTAAATGGTTGTTTACTAATTGGCGTTGTGTTGTCTTTAAAGTAAATTATTTACCGATTTCTTATTTTTCCTTTTTTCACTCATTTTGTGTAGGATTCCTTAGGATTTCTTATTGGTTTTGCCACAAATATAGTCGAGAAAAAAAAAAAAACAATGTTTTTGTCTTCTTCTTTTTGAAGTCAAATGAAGTGTAATATTGCCACTTAGTTTTTCGTTAAATTTCGCGGTTTTCTTTTTTATTTGATATGGTATGATTTTATCATTAAAATTGATAATGCAGAGTTGTATTTTTATAGTAGTGAAAGTAAGAAGTGGAAAATGAACAGAATTGTTTATTTTCCTTTATTTCTTTGTTATTATCGTTCTTTTTCCAAATAAAAAAAAAGAAAAAGTGCATATCAAGCATAACAAAAACAAGTCCATTGTGTTGAAAAAATTTTCAGTCTTGTTTAAAAAATAAAAACAAATTGTAATTTATTGCTACCAAAATAAAACAAATCATTAAAAACAACACGGAAAAACAACAAAAGCAGAGTAAGGAAAGAAAATCGTAATATTACAAACTAAAAAGCGTAACAAAAATTTGACCCATTAAAATCACGATAATGGCCTCGTCTGAATTGGAGCCTATAATAGCCGTGGAAAAGGAATTGGATCGTGTTATTAGTAAATTTACCGAAATACAAGAAAATGCTGCTGCAGAAATCAATGATGTGGCCGCTTTACTGGAGGAACTAATGCAAGTGTTGGGCAAGGCGGAACAGGAAATGACGGGTACCATTAATACCGGCACCCAAGTGGATACCGATGATCCCATGGCCGATGAGGCTGACATGCAAGTTGAAATGGAACGTAAGTTAAAAGCGAAATATCTTTAAAAATTATGTTTAAACCTTAAAAAAACAATACAGCTTCGCCTCCTCGTTTGACGGACAGTCAAATAGCTATTATTACCGAGGCCTTGCAAAAGACCAATGAAAAGCTTCAACGTTTGTCCAGTGAACATCGTGATTTACATGGTGCCGTGTCCAAGGTGGGCAAAGTTATAGACCGTAACTTTGTTTCCGACTTTACCGCCACCACACGCACCGATGCTCTGCAGGATGAGGAAAATATGATGCTATTAAACAAAGTAATAGCTAAACATTATTGCCGCCAGGGCATGGATGATGTTGCTCAACTTTTGATCAAAGAGTCAAAAATGCCCGCCGATATGGCTCAAGAGGTTTTCGATTCCGAGCGTAGTTTTGCAGAAATCTATCGCATTTGGAAGGCCATACAACAACGTGACCTTAAGCCGGCCTTAGAATGGACTTCCCGCTATTCAAATGAATTGCTGGCAAAGAATTCTTCGTTGGAGTTTAAATTGCATCGTTTGGCATTTTTGCAAATTATTTCAAAGGGAATATCGGCTCAGGCTGAAGCTATTGCTTATGCTCGTAATAATTTCCATAAATTTATTGGCACCTTCGATCATGAAATACCCAATCTAATGGGTTGTTTCATCTATCTACCTTCGGGCATTGAAAATTCACCTTATAAAAACCTTATATCAAATGAGACTTGGACCGAGGCATCGTATGTTTTTCTCAAGGATGCTTGTCATACGTTGGGCATTAGTAAGAATTCGGCTTTGTCTGTGGTTATAAATGCGGGATGTACAGCTTTGCCGGCATTGTTGAATATCAAACAGGTGAGTTGGAGTAAAAGATTTAAAATTTTTAAAGACAGTTTTTTCTAAAGTGGAAACAGTGGATTTAGTTTGTACTATAGTTTAGTCTATATTGAAAAAAGTCCACACTACAGTCTTGTCTATAGTCTGGACTATAGTCAGAGCTATAATATAGTCTATTGTCTGGACTACAGTCTAGTCTGGACTGTATTCTAGTCTATAGTAGTTTATTCTATATTATGAACTATTGTCTGAACTATAGTTTATTCTATAGTCCGGACTATAGTCTATGGTCTGGACTATAGACTGGACTATTCTATAGTCTGGAATATAGTCTGGACTATAATATAGTCTATAGTCTGGACTATAGTCCACACTATATTCTAGTCTATAGTCTAGATTATATTCTAGTCTATAGTCTGGACTACAGTATAGTCTATAGTATGGACTATAGTATAGTCTATAGTCTGGACTATAGTCTGGTCTATAGTATGGACTATAGTATAGTCTATAGTCTGCACTAGTCTGGTCTATAGTCTGCACTATAGCCTTGCCTATAGTTTGGATTATAATATAGTCTATAGTCTGAACTAGTCTATGGTCTGGACTATAGACTGGACTATTCTATAGTCTGGAATATAGTCTGGACTATAATATAGTCTATAGTCTGGACTATAGTCCACACTATATTCTAGTCTATAGTCTGGACTATATTCTAGTCTATAGTCTGGACTATAGTATAGTCTATAGTATGGACTATAGTATAGTCTATAGTATGGACTATAGTATAGTCTATAGTCTGGACTATAGTATAGTCTATAGTCTGGACTATAGTCTGGTCTATAGTATGGACTATAGTATAGTCTATAGTCTGCACTAGTCTGGTCTATAGTCTGCACTATAGCCTAGTCTATAGTCTGCACTATAGCCTAGTCTATAGTCTGCACTATAGCGTAGTCTATAGTCTGGACTATAGCCTTGCCTATAGTTTGGTCTATAATATAGTCTATAGTCTGAACTATAATCTTGCCTATAGTCTGAACTATAATCTAGTCTATAGTCTGGACTATAATTGTTTATAATCTACTCCATGGATTAGTTTAGTTTATAGTCTATAGTGTTCATTATAGTCTAGTCTATGGTCTGGGCCGTATCCTAGTTTATAGTCTAGACTTTTGTCTAGTGTATAGTCTGGATTACAATCTATTATTTCCACTATAGTTTAATCTGTATCTCAAACTATAGTTTGAACATTTGCCTAGTCTATAGCGCAGTATATATTTTAATATTTTTGTCCTTTTAGGTCATGCAATCGCGTCAAGTTTTAAATATTTGGAGTGGCCGTGATGAGCTACCCATAGAAATCGATTTAGATCCAGAATATCGTTATCACTCCATATTTGCTTGTCCAATTTTAAGGCAACAGTCTACAGAAGATAATCCTCCCAAAAAACTAGCCTGTGGTCATGTGATTTCCAATGATGCTCTACACAAACTAAGCAATGGTCATATATTAAAATGTCCCTATTGCCCCGTAGAGCAGACAGCCGATGAGGCTGTAAGGATTTATTTTTAAAACAATAAAAGGTTTGAAAAACCCGGGATGGTTAGAACAAGTTTTAAATGTTATAAATGAGATTAAAAATGTGTTAAAAGGGACTTTTGAAAGTAGTGGAACATGAAACCATAAACATTTATTTATAAAAATTCAAACAAAGAATATTTAAAAAAAATAAAGCCAATTTTAAAAATATATGTATATTAAACACACATTTAAAAACATTTGTTTATTTTTATTTCTGTTTAATAAAAACTTAACTTAAGAAAACAAATTTAAATTTAGGCCGCCACCGAAGAAAATATCGGTGCCTCAATTTCCGGTAATTCAGTGTCCTCATGATTGTGTATCAATTTAAAGAGACCTGTGCCTATAGCAGCAGGCATACCCAAAATAATGCGTTCCGAAACACCATCCACCGCATCCGTTTGACCAAAATAGGCAGCATCGAATAAATGATCTGAAGTTTTTTCAAACTGAAGGAAAAGAAAACAAAATTATGAGAATTTAACAAAACTTATATAATATTCAAACTTACCGAAGCCAAATTGAAAACACTTTCACGCATTTTAGCCAAACCATGACGTGTTATACCCAACACTTCGCCACGAGAAGTCATTTGACTAGCCAGTAACATAATATGTCTCTGATCCACACTCATACCATGACCCTCCATAACATCGGTAATTTCTGTCATAATGGTGGTTCGTGCCGCCTCAATACCCAGTGTATTGTATACTTCCCAAATATTATTACTTTTAGTCTTAGTGCCCACCACACCATAGGTGGCCATAACATCTCTAAGGCCGGCACCTTCTATACACAATTTATAGGTGGCAGGCAGGCGGGAATCATCAATGGCTATAACAGCTCGCGAAATATGAGGCAAACCGGCTACGACCACATTTTGTATGGCAGAAGAGAGACGTTGCAGTTCCGCGTTTAAGGCAGCACCATGTTTGGAACTGTCTATACGCACTATTATAATGGAGGAACCCATTATATCCACCAACGCCGGTTTAATGCGTAATTTTGAAGTGCATATACTAAAAAGACAAAAAGTTAAGAAAATCAGCAAAAATCTCTTTTTCCAAAAATTTTCAAAGAAAACTTACGAATATCTTATAGTTTCCGCATTAATTTCCAAGCCCAAAACTTTAATACGATTCAAATCTAAACGCACCACCAAATAACAATCATCCGGCTTGTAAACCTCCTCTATATAAGAGGAAATCTCTCCCAAAGTTGTTTTCTCTATGCGTGACTTTACTTTGCGGGCATATTCCATACTTGTATTATTAACAATTTCTGCTGTTATTACCGGTGTAGATATGGTTTTAGTTGCATTGATAATTTCCACAATACGTGGCACACCCTGTGTAATGTTCATGGAAGCTACACCAGCAAAATGGAAAGTTTTCAGTGTCATCTGAGTGCCGGGCTCACCAATACTTTGAGCCGCTACAGCACCCACTGCTGTACCGGGTTCAGTGACAGCTCTATTGTATTTATCATTGACCCAACGCATAAAGGTGCGTATTTGTCCTTCGGAAAGACGTTCGATTTCATGTCCCAATTTCGGATGTTGACGGTATTTTTCCTGAACTTTGGTGATTTTTTCGGCCACTTTTTCGATGAAGTTGCTAAAATTGAAAAAATTATACTACATAGTCTATAGTATAGACCAGACTATAGTCCAGACCAGACTATAGACTAGACAATAGTCCAGTCTAAAATAAACTATAGTTCAGTACTATAAACTAGATAATAGGCTAGAGTACAGTCCAGACTACAGACTAGACTACAGAACAAACTATAGTTTTGACTATAGACTAGACTAGACTATAGACTAGACTATAGACTAGACTATATACTAGACTATAGACTAGACTATAGACTAGACTATAGACTAGACTATAGACTAGACTATAGACTAGACTATAGACTAGACTATAGACTAGACTATAGACTAGACTATAGACTAGACTATAGACTAGACTATAGACTAGACTATAGACTAGACTATAGACTAGACTATAGACTAGACTATAGACTAGACTATAGACTAGACTATAGACTAGACTATAGACTAGACTATAGACTAGACTATAGACTAGACTATAGACTAGACTATAGACTAGACTATATACTAGACTATAGACTAGACTATGGACTAGCCTATAGACTAGCCTATAGACTAGACTATAGACTAGACTATAGACTAGACTATAGACTAGACTATAGACTAGACTATAGATTGGCTATAGACTAGACTATAGACTAGACTATAGACTAGACTATAGACTAGACTATAGACTAGACTATAGACTATAGACTAGACTATAGACTAGACTGTAGACTAGACTATAGATTAGACTATAGACTAGACTATAGACTAGACTATAGACTAGACTATAGACTAGACTATAGACTAGACTATAGACTAGACTATAGACTAGACTATAGACTAGACTATAGACTAGACTATAGACTAGACTATAGACTAGACTATAGACTAGACTATAGACTAGACTATAGACTAGACAATAGACTAGAATATAGACTAGACTATAGACTAGACTATAGACTAGACTATAGACTAGACTATAGACTAGACTATAGAGTAGACTATAGACTAGACTATAGACTAGACTATAGACTAGACTATAGACTAGACTATAGACTAGACTATAGACTAGACTATAGGCTAGACTATAGACTAGACTATAGACTAGACTATAGACTAGACTATAGACTAGACTATAGACTAGACTATAGACTAGACTATAGACTAGACTATAGACTAGACTATAGACTATAGACTAGACTATAGACTAGACTATAGACTAGACTATAGACTAGACTATAGACTAGACTATAGACCAGACTATAGACTAGACTATAGACTAGACTATAATCCAGACTATCGACTAGACTATAATTTAGACTATAGATTATACTATAGTCCAGACTATAGACTATATTATATTCTAGACTATAGACTAGACTACCGTCTAGATTATAGACTAGACTATAGTTCAGACTGTAGAATAGACTATATTCCAGACTGTAGACTGAACCATTATCCAGACTACAGACCCAGTATTATATGCTACATATAGACTATACTTCATATACTACACATAGAGCATACTATAATCTATAGACTATACATAGTACTGTAGACTAAACTATAATCCACACCGTAGACTAGAATATAGACTAAGCTATTGTACATATATAGTCCATGCTTTATATTAGACTATAGTCCAGACTATAGACTAAAACTTGTAGTCTTGCAAATTTTCAATATTTTATCCAACAACTTACACCACTTCATTTTGGAAATCTTTACGACTCATTGTGAACTCTTCCTCCTTTAAAATTTCTTGGGTTTTATTAACAATATCAGAGGCCGGTATAGGTTCTTCTTCGCGGAAGGGATGTACAGCTCTTAAATGATTCAATTGTCTAACCATATCAACGGGTTTGTTTTTAACCTCCATAAAGACCGGGTCTAAACCATCACCACCGTAAATAAGTTCAACAATTTCACCAATAGCGTTGCGCACAGAGCCATCATAGTGGACCACCAAATCTTCCAAGCACTAAATTGAATCAAAACAAAATAATACAAGGAAATAATAAATGAAAATTTACATTTATTACCTTAACCAAACGTCTTTGCAAATAGCCAGTTTCTGCGGTTTTAACAGCAGTATCTACTAGACCTTCTCTGCCGGCCATGGTGTGGAAAAAGAATTCGGTGGGTGTTAAACCCGAAAAGAAACTATTTTGCACGAAACCTCTGGCGGCGGGTATGGCGGCTGTAAGATTTGTTTAAATTGTAATAAAAAAAATCAAAATCTTGTTTAATATATTCCAAAAAACCTACAAAACTTCTCAAAATGTGGTAGAGCACGATTTTCAAAACCATTCGGTACACGTTTGCCATTAATAGCCTGTTGTCCTACACAAGCAATCATTTGGGATATATTAATATTGGAACCTTTTGAGCCGGATAAAGCCATTATTAAAGCACTATTTGTCGGATGTAATTCACGGAAACATACTTTCGCTGCCTGTTCACGTATAGTGGATAGTTCACGCAACATAACAGCTTCCAAAGTCTGTTCAGGCGTACAACCCGGTTGACATTGTAGGGTGCCCTTTTTCATTTCCAAAATATATTCATCACATTTGGCATAACCTTTTTCCAAAAGTTTTTGTTTTTCCTCTAACAAACGGGCACTGGGTGTTACATCACTAATGCCAAAAGAGAAACCACGATTTTGTATGAAATATGAAGCGATCTAAAAAAGGAATAGAGAAGACGAATAAGTTTATTAATTTAATTAACTAGTTTTTTTTTTAGTTTAAAAATAATAACGAATTATGTTATATACTACTCTACTCTATAGCTAGACTACAAGTACGGTACGTTCAGTCTATAGTCTGGATTATAGACTACCGACCAGAATATACTTTAGCCTATTGTCTGACCTAGAGTTTAGTCTATTATAGTCTGGTCAATAGTCTGGGCTATAGTTTAGTCTATAGTTTAGACTCTATTCTCAAGTATAGTTTAGACTGCAGTTTCAACTATAGTATAGTCTATAATCTGTACTATAGTTTAGTCTATAGTCTGAACTATAGTTTAGTTTATAGTTTGGAATAACTTAACTATTGTTAAGTCTATAAATTAGAATAAATTCTAAACTATTTTTTAGTCTATAGTTTGGTATACAGTCTGGACTATAAATTAGTCTATAGTCAACACTATACACTAAACTATAGTCCAGGCTATGTACTATCTACATATATACCAGACCAAAGACTAATATATACCATAAAACTTATATAATTCTGGTAAAAGTTTAAATTTTCACTAAATATGAAAATTTCCATTCATAATTTTTTAAAATTGATTTGTTCAGTACTTGATAAAAATACACCATGAAATTCTATTTTATGGAATAGATACCTTAACAAATTTTAAAAATTATTTTAAATAGTCAATAAAAGTTAATAGTTTTTACAACAAATCCCCAGTCCATACCGAAATATTAGACTAACAATTGTTTCGAATGAAGTCTTTTTTAAATTCAAAAAATCGAGTGGGAATATTATTGTTTTTATCTATGTTATACATAATTCATGCACAAACATCGGTAAGCTTTTAAAATGAAAAACTTCAAGGAAAATTATAAAATATTATGTTTCAGAGTGAACGAATTATATCCGGCTCAAAGGCAGCTTTAGGACAATTTCCTTGGCATGTTCTTATAAAATTAAACGCTAAACATCCTGTGTGGTCAGGGGGTTCTCTTATTTCTGAAAATTGGGTTTTAATAGCTGCACATTGTATTAGTAATGTCGGAGAACTTTTTCTGGTATTCGGTACTATAGACCGCGATCATTACGAGAATGGTATAAATATGACCTCTTCAAAATTTTTCATTCATCCTGAATATAACAGTGCTATTCCAAATAATGATATTGGACTCATTAAACTACCTTCTCCAATAATCTTTACCAAGAACATACAACCCATTGCTTTGGTAACTGCGGCAGAGGCTGCAGAACAAAAGGATTTTGTGGGCGCTAAAGCTATAATTACTGGATTTGGTCAAGAAACTGATGATATTGGCAGTGAATCTAATGTATTATTATGGGCTCAATTAGAAGTTATCAGTAACGATCGTTGTCTAGGATTATATAAGAATCCAGACGCTATAGTAAATTCAACATTGTGTGCGATTGGTTGGAATGATACCAATAAATCGCCTTGCAGTGGTGATTCTGGTGGTCCATTAATTTGGAAGAACAAAGCTAATAATTTTGTACAAATTGGTATTGATTCGTTTGTTGCTCGTTCGATAGGTTGTATGCTTAAATTTCCTGCGGGTTTTACTAGAGTATCTTCGTTTTTAAGTTATATTCGAAATATTACCGGTTTAAATTATGAATAATTTAAACACAGATTAGCAATAATTTCTACATATATCAATTAAAAGTTTAAGAAGCAACTGTTGTATTGAAATTATATTTTAATTAATTGTTATGGTGCTAGACAGACTATGAGGCCCGATCTTTATGAAATTTGGCTTAGGCGTGCCGCTTTTTATCGATATACAGGTATATTTAACATAATTATGAGCTCAGAAGCCCATTTCGGGGGGCTCTGTTGTATGGGGGCTAGGTGAAATAATGGACCGAATTTAACCATAGGCTTAGTCCATATGCCCAAAAAGCGTGTGTGCCAAATTTCATCCAATTATCTTGAAAATTGCGACCTGTACCTTGCGCACAAGGTTTACATGGCCAGCCAGACGGACGGACATAGCTTATTCGTCTCAGAAAACGATGAATATTTTTGTGTGTTACAAACAGCAGAACAAACCCAATATACCCTCCCCACTAAACTGGTGCAAGGTATAAATAGTCCAATTGGTTTCAAAAGTTTTTACAAACCTTCATTTCGTTGGCCTCTGTTATTAAATTAAACACAATTAATTTATTTTTTTAAGATTTTTTTTTATTGAGTTATTAATTATTTTTATTAAATAATAATTTAAAGGATATTTATATATTTTTTAAGTACTTGAATTTAAAATGTGGGGTTGAAATTTAGTTTGTTTTACTATATACTAGACTATAGACTAGGCTATAAACTAGGCTACTGAGTACATTATAGACTAGACTATACTACTGAGTATATTATAGACTAGACCATGGACTATACTATAAAATTGACTATTAACTAGATTATAGACTACACTATTGACTAGAAAATACTATAAACTTGACTATTAACTTGACTATTATAGACTACACTATAGACTAGACCAGGGGTCGGCAAACTTTTGAGTCGGAAGAGCCAAAATTTGCAGTTTACAAAAGATAGGTTTTAAAAGAGCCACAAATTTTTAGTTTATTAAAACTTTACAAATACTTTATGAATTCACTTTAAAAACATATTTTTTTTTTAAATTCTGACAATTCTGCAAGGAATCTTTTTTATAGTTTTTTGACCACAAATACTTTTTGAATTTTTATGGGTCATTCGAATGTATTTTTTAAACACATGTTATATAAAGATATAAAGGTTTATCACGAAAATTGATGACACAACTTCCGGAATACAGTAAAATGTCATAAATATATTAATTAGGAAGCAATCGTGATCAAATTTGGCACAAGTTTTAAATTTGGCACAAGTTATGCACACAGAAATTATACTGTGATGTATGGCGGACATCGGGCCATAATTGACCCAACCCCAATATAAGGTCCCTTTCAGAAAATGACTCTAACGATAATAATTGACTTAACAGTAGCAGTATAACGACGAAATTCGACATAAACAAGAACAAAAATCTCTTTACCAAATTTGGTGACGATCGCCTCATAATTGATCCATCCCCCTATATTAGGTGCCCTTTAGAAAATGACCCTATCGCTCTTAAGTGACTTAATAATAGCAGTATAGCGACGAAATTGGAAACAAACAAGTTTTATAAGAACAAAATTTCTCGACCAAATTTGAAAAGGATCGAAAAATAATTGACCAATTCCTTTATATAAGGTCTTCTTCAGTAAAAGACTCTAACGATCATATCTGATTCAATAATATCAGTATAGCGACGCAATTCGACACTAACAAGTATTATAGGAACAAAAATCTCTCTCCAAAATTTTATAATTATCAGTTCATTGTTGACCATACCGCCATATAAATTCCTCTTCAGGAAATGACTTTAACGTTCATAATAGGCATAATAATACCAACATAATGGTGAAATTCGTCATAAACAAGTTTATAAGAACAAACATATCTGTACCAAATTTAATAAGGATGGGTTCAGAATTGACCCTACCCTCCATATAGAGTCCCCTTTCGAAAACGACGTTATGACATACAACAAGCTAAAATACAAGTATAGTGATGAAAATCAACACAAACAAATTTTATAGATCCAAAATCTCATTAGCAAATTTTGTAAGGATGGATCTATAATACGCTTTCCAGTCCGCTATTTATAGCCAACAATTTTATGTCAAAAACATATCAATATTTCATAGATATCTGTCATTAACATTTCTAAAACGTGCAATATTTAAAAATTTTAATTTGTTTTGACACCTTTAAAAATTCATTAAAAAAGATTAAAGATTAAAGTTTTCAAATATACCAAGTTTTTAGTATTTAACTGTATCCAAACTCTCCATATTATTAATTAATTAATTACTATATTTTCAATTTCCAAAAAATATGTTTTAATTCGAAAAACACGAAAATTTCAGAATGTATGATCAATGATCATGATTTATATCTTATCTAATGGCTCTTCGTATTAGCGCTCATACCCCATTCGTTTATAGGGAACTTTTCAATTAAAAATTTAAAGAATAAAACATTTTCTTACAATACTAACTTGTACATGGAACAAATTCAATGGGAGTGATAGGTTTGTATGGCTTTAGAATGTTTGGATCATAACTTGTTGTTTAAAGTTTCAAAAACGACTTTAAATTTTCATTTGTTGGTTGGCTTCTTACCTAACTCTTCCAACATGTTTTTAAACTTTGACAATTTTCCACAACACAAAGCTTTACTTTTTAAATTGGTCAACTGCATTTCTATAGATCGAGTACCAATTCCAAATGGCTCAATGAGGATTTGTTCTCAAATGCACGATTGTAAGGGCAAATAAAAGCCAGGATATGAGCGAAAAGCTAAATGTGTTGTTTTCGTTCTTTCTCACTCAAAAATAAATTGTTTTTGTTTTGCTCATGTACAGAACGATTAAACAAAGTTGAAAAGTTGTGTATATTGTAGAAACGTTTGCGAATTGTTTTGTTAGTTTTAATACACTGCTTGTTAATCGATTTCAAAAGATTTTGAAATATATAAAGTTTTTTTTTATAAAATAAATAAAATGTGTGAATGAAGCTAAAGAGCCACAGCTCCACATCCAAAGAGCCGCATTTGGCTCGCGAGCCGTAGTTTGCCGACCCCTGGACTAGACTATTGACTAGACAATAGACTACATTATAGACTGGATTTTAGAATACACTATAGACTATACTATAGATTAGACTACATACTAGACTATAGACTAGACTATATACTAGACTATAGACTAGACTATAAGCTAGGCTACTGAGTATATTATAGACTAGACTATAGACTAGACCATGGACTATACTATAGACCAGACAATTGAGTAGACTATAGATTAGACTATTGACTAGACTATAGACTAGAAAATACTCTAAACTTGACTATTAACTAGATTATAGGCTTCACTATAGACTAGAAAATACTATAAACTTGACTATTAACTAGATTATAGACTACACTATAGACTAGACTATTGACTAGACAATAGACTAGACTATAGACTGGACTTTAGACTAGACTAGACTAAAGACTAGACTAACGACTAGACTAAAGACTAGACTATAGACTAGACTATAGACTAGACTATAGACTAGACTATAGACTAGACTGTAGACTAGACTATAGACTAGACTATAGACTAGACTATAGACTAGACTATAGACTAGACTATAGACTAGACTATAGACTAGACTATAGACTAGACTATAGACTAGACTATAGACTAGACTATAGACTAGACTATAGACTAGACTATAGACTAGACTATAGACTAGACTATAGACTAGACTATAGACTAGACTATAGACTAGACTATAGACTAGACTATAGACTAGACTATAGACTAGACTATAGACTATAGACTAGACTATAGACTAGACTATAGACTAGACTATAGACTAGACTATAGACTAGACTATAGACTAGACTAGACTAGACTATAAACTCAACTAAAGGCTCGACTAGACTAGACTATAAACTCGACTATAGGCTCGACCATAAACTTGACTAGACTAGACTATAGATTGGACCATATACTAGACTATAGACTAGACTAGACTATCGACTAGAACATAGACTATACTATAGACTAGACTATAGACTAAACTATAAAATCGACTATAGGCTCGACTAGACTAGACTATATACTCGACTATAGACTAGACTATAAACTCGACTATAGGCTTGACCATAAACTTGACTAGACTTTAAAGTAAATTTTAGACTAGACTATAGACTAGACTACAGACTACACTATAGACTAGGCTATAGACTACACTATAGACTAGGCTATAAACTAGACTATAGACTAGAATATAGACTAGATTATAGACTAGACCATATACTAGACTATAGACTTGATTATAGGCTAGAATATAGATTAGGCTATAGACTAGACCCTCCCCACCAAAGTGGTGTACGGTACAATCGGTCCAATTGGTATCAAAAGTTTTTACAAACCTTCATTTCGTTGGCCTCTGTTATTAAATTAAACACAATTAATTTATTTTTTTAAGATTTTTTATTATTTATTAATTATTTTTATTAAATAATAATTAAAAGGATATGTATTTATATATTTTTTAAGCACTTAAATTTAAAATGGGAGTTGAAATTTTATTTGTATTCCTTATTTTCTTTACCTTCTTTGTCCCCTGTGGATCCGCGCCTAGTGTGGATAATAAACAAGATTAGAGTCTAGATTATAGACTAGACTACTAACCAGACAATAGACTAGACTATAGACCAGACTATAGACTAGACTATTAACTAGATTAGACTGTAGAATATTATGTAGGCTATAATGTTGACTAGACAATATACTACACTATAGACTAGACGATAGACAAGACTACAGACTAGACTATAGACTAGACTATAGACTAGACTTAGACTAGACTATAGACTAGACTATAGAAGACTAGACCATAGACTAGACTATAGAAGTCTAGACTAGACTATAGACTAGACTATAGGCTATACTATATACTAGACTATAGACTATACTATATACTAGACTATAGACTAGGCAACTGACTTGACTATAGACTAGACTATAGACTAGACTATAGATTAGACTATAGACTAGACCATATACTAGACTATAGATTAGAATATAGATTAGACT